TGTCATTCCCGGAATAGGCTGCTTCGTCACCATCTTCAAGATCAGGTAAGAAATTTGGGCCGATGCGTTCTGAGATATTCGTGTCGACCGGGTGAGGTGTAACGTAACCTTGGTCAGCGAAGTGGTAATGTGTGTCGAGGTTGTTGCTATCGAGAGGATTGTCGTCGTCGAGTGGAAAAGGCACGGAACTGTAAGGGAGTGGTCCGGCAGTTTCCGAAGCTCCAGGTACGTCTTCTTTTGCTGCGTCAGCCTCGGCAGCACGGTCGGCGAAGGACCGAAGGCCCTCGAAAACGTCGGTGGGGTCGTTTGTGTTGGCGACGTTGTCCAGGTAATGTTGCAGCATCAGTCGCTCGTAAAAAATTACATCACGTGAGGCCACGGTGTTTTTGTCTTGTATGTCGAGAAGTTTCCATGCTTGAAAATGTTTTGCGATGCCGAGGTGTAGTCCCCATTTTGCTCGTTGAGAGAATCATCCTGCGCGTGCTGTGTGGGGTCCGTACTGTACCATGCAGCCGAAGACTCGAAGTAACTTTGTGCTGCCCTGTTTTCCGGTCCACAGCAGGTGCGGTGATGCATTGTTGCGAGGACAACAAGTTGTGCAGGTGGACTGCATGGGTCATCGCGTCAGGCCAAAGCGTGTTGGGCAGTCTTATCCCCAGGAATAGCTTCCGCATCATAGTCTGCAAGGTCCGGTTCGTTCTTTCTGTGACCCCATGCTGCTGGTGAGCGTAGGGCAGAGACACCAGGCGTCTGATTCCTCTTTCCGCCAAGTAGTTCCTGAAGCGTTGTGATTGGTATTCGAGTGCCCCGTATGATTGGAAGCTCTTGAGTTGAGTTCCTGATTCTCGTTCAGCGATGGGGAGCCATGTCGTGAAGGCTTCGAATGCCTGATCGCGTGTCTTGATGTTGTAGTGCCAGACGTATCTTGTTGCTGTGTCGATGAATGTGATGGCGTAGTTGAAGCCTGCTTCACTGTCATACACTGAGGGAAAAAACTGTCCGGATGCAGGGGCTCTATTGCGTTTTTTAGCCATAATTTCAGAGAATGATTAAGCCTTAATGTGAGAACATTCTTGTGTCATGGGCACATGTAGTCTCAACTCTGTCCCCTGGTGTTAGCTCGTTTACCTCATACAAGCATGCTCACAACACATTATACATACAAGGTCATCATCCGGACAGTTTTTTCCCAAATCACCAAAAGATCTACTAATCCAGATTCTAGAAGCTAGTCCACCTTCCCCCAGCCTTGATCACAGCACGCACACGCTTCGGCATGCTGTCTATGAGCCTCTTGCAAAAATCCGCAGGAATCTGCTCCCACTCCTCTTGGATCCGCTCCCAAAGTTCCACCATTCCTGATGGTGGCTGCTCGTACTTGGACAGCTCCTTTTTGAGGTGAGCCCAGAGATGCTCGATCGGGTTAAGATCGGGGGAGGAGGAGGGCTAGACGAGCACGGAATAGTCCTGCTCCCCAAGGTATTCCTGCACTAGGCGACACTTATGCTTGGGGTCGTTATCATGTTGGAATATGACTTTACATGGCGTGAGGCTATAGAACTCGATAGTGGATGTGAGTTCATCCTGTAAAATGCTGCGATACAATGGCCCATCCATCCTCCCATCAATTTTGCACATAAAACCCGCGCCGTCATAGGTCAGGCACCCCCACACCATCACAGAACCCCCTCCATGCTTCACCGTTTGTCGGATTTGATGGCTCTGCAGGTTGTTGCCGTCGCGGATCCAGGCGTATGCGCGGCCGTCCGAGCAAAACCGATTTATCTTCGTTTCGTCGGACCAAATAACGCGCTTCCAGTCCTCGAGCGTCCAGTCTACGTGCGCCCTAGCAAACTCTAGCATGTCCTTAATGTTCTGCTTGGACAGTCGCGGTTTCTTCGGTTGCGATACTGCGACTAGACCAGCTTCACGAAGTGAATTCCTAACTGTCTTGGGGCATACGTTAACATCGTGTGCTGTTCCTAGCATTTTTGCCGCGTCAACGCTCGTTTTCACCTTGCCACTAGTAATAGCTCGAATAACGGTGCGCTGGAGTCGGTGTGATATAACACGTGGCCTTCCACCTGGCGGCATCGTGGGTCGCACCTCATCACGGCTAGTCTCTGCGATGACTTTGAGACTGTAGTCATGGACGGTGCTTTTACCTACACCTAAATCTTTCGCTATTTTCCGCACGCTAACCCCCTTGCGCAGAAGCTCGATCATACCTGCTCGTCGCTTCTCATCGACCGGCTTCATGGCGTCTGGACCGTGTGCGAACTACGGGGCTACGGAGCGGCGGCGAGAAGTTCGCTAGATCGAGACCTAAATCAAGACCGGAGGCGAATGTAGATGTCGAACGTCGATCGGAAAAAACTGTCCGGAAGCAGTCCATCTTGCAAAGCCTTATCATACGTTAGTCATCTTCGTTATTACAAACCAGAACTCGGTGGGTTCATGAATATACGCACTGTTATACACACATGGAAATTTGAGGAAACTTATTGTTACCATAACAAGCAAAAATTGACCAGCATTAGCCTAAACCCATTTATCCGGACAGTTTTTTCCCTCAGTGTATCGCGGCATATTTAAGATGTCGCTGTAAACTTTTTTCCATCGGTGTGTATGCAGGTGCACTTGGATTGTGATGCGACGGAAAGGGTTGGTGTGGAAGATCGGCTTCGGGACACGTGAAACATCGGGCGCGGGGTCGGCGAAGTTCTTGCCCGCTCGTTGTGAGGAGAGCGTCTTTTTCTAATACTTCGGCTTGGATTGTTTGTAGTACTGTACTGTTTGCAGGGTGACCGAGGCGTTGGTGCCAGATGTCGTCGGGAGAGCGATGACCAGGGGAGCGCTGATACAAATTGGTGTTGGAGAAGAACGCGACGACTGTTGCGGGACTGCGGCATACTCCTCGGGCGTTTGGCATGAGTTGGTCTGCTTCAGTTGGTGCCCCTTGGACTGCTGGTGATGACACACGACGAGGTCCTGCTGCTGTTACTGCAGGTGATGTTGCGGGTGGGACACTTGCTGGTACGTTTCGTTCTTGTCGGATGACTGAAGCTGAACGACTCCTTGCCTGTTTGTTTTCAGGTTCTCATTGTTGGCGACGGTGATGATGATGTCACGGTTGAGGCGTCGTTCTCGTTGCACGAAGCGTCCTGAGGAACACATGTGTTGTCCGCAGCAGCTCTCCAAGAACCAGGTGTTTCGCCCGGTGGGTTCGACGTTGGCGACTGCAGCGTATGTTGGATTGACTCGAAGACCTTGTGAGCGTGGCGGCGGCAGTTCTTCTTCTTCGTCTGGGGCATAAGTAGGTGGTGATCCGGGTGCGCAGTTGTCGATGCGTACCATGCAATTGATGATGTTCGGTGTGCCTTGTGCAGATGTGGAGGAACGCCTTGGCGGACTTTCTTGAGTGGAAGCGACTTGTGGGTCTACTGGACGATAAACTCGGGGGCGTGTGCAGTTGACTTTGGAGTGTCCGGACGTTTGACAGTTGTGGCAAAACGGCGGCACGATGGTGAGTCCTCTGTTGTCGCGTTGATTTTGCTTGCTGCGTCGATTGTAGTTATCGTTCCTTCGTTGAGTGTAGAAGACTAACTGTTGCTGCTTTCTTGGTTGTCTTTCTTCGAACAGGTCCATCTCCTATTGTTCAGCATGAAGCTCGGCGCAGAGGTGCATCTCCGAGATTCTTCCGTGGGCGCGAAGAAGCGAGCGGGTGGTTCTCCATTCTGGCCCGAGCCCGGCGAGGACAAGTGTCACGAAGCTTTCTTCAGTGATTGTACCTCCGCACCGAAGCAGGCGGTCGCGGAGTGTCTGGCAGCGACTCATATACTGCATCGCCTTTTCCCCGGTCTTCATCTGTATTGTTGTCAGCTGCTGCATGAGTCTGCTTTGTGTCACGCTGTCGTTTGCTTGATAGAGACACTTGAGATGATGCCATGCGAGTTCCGCGGAGTTTCCATAGCTCCGATACGTTCTGATGCTTTGCTGTTCTTGTGGTGACAGGTTCCGCAGGAGGACTGTGTACGCCAGCAGCGACTGATATGTGAAAATCTCTTGCTCTTTTGCAGTGCCATTGCTTGGAAATGGCAGGGACCCGTTGAAGTATCCCAAGAGATGCGCGGCCTCCATCAGCTGCTCGAACTCGAAGCTCCAGGTAAAGAAGTCCTGTCTGTTGAACGGTGAGGATGTCTGCAGTTTGATTACGTGTGAAAACTGCGCCTGGAGGCTTAATATCTCGTTTGGTGTCTGTTGTGATGCAGCTGCTGTTGGTTGGGCACGGGGCGGCATGAACTCGAACGTCCCCGGTGAAGAGTGATAAGGCGCAAAGGTAGGCGCTTAATTGTGTCGCCCGAACGATGAATTGTTGAGGCTCATCGTCGCTAATCCCATGTTTCCTCCGTTGCTCTGTGTTGAATGTGCAGGTGTCCTTGTCTGCTGCTGCTGGTCGAAGTGCGACATGAAGCTGAAGAACCTTTCCATAAGGTTGGGGTCCACGGTTGAAGAGGGTGATGGAGTCACCATTTCTTGTGTTCTTCCTGTTGTTTCTTGAGCAGCGCCGGTCTCGGTCTGTAGTCCTGAAGTGTGCAGTCCAGAGTTGCTGGGTTGAGTGAGTGTCTTGGCCACTGGGTGAGCCCGTAGAAGTCTTCTTGCCCTCGTTGTCCATGACTTGTAATTCGATGAAGTCGTTGGTGTGCTAACTGTAGATAGAGCGTAGTTGTTGGGAGTTTGGTCTCTGACCAGCTTTCATACCATGATGGGCTGATAAAAGCCCTTAGGATCTTTCGAGAGACTAAGTCCCAGTTGTAAAGAAGGCTTGAGTAGTGCAGCGGAAGTTGTAGTTGAACCCTTGCACTAGTATGTGAGAGCAAGTGATTAAAGTAAACAGCAATATATAGAAAATAGGAAAGTAAAGCAATTGTAGAATACAGTTGAAGAGCGGTTATAGAGTCGCATAGCGACTCGATTGTCGCTTCGGTTACCATTCTTGCTGTTGTAACGGTCAGTCGCAACCTCCGGTTGCGATCCTTCGAGTCCTTTCGTGCTCTTTGTCCACCCCCTGGTGTAACCTCCGTTGACTCGCGTATTCGTTACGATCTTCCTCGAGTGTGGTGTTTTACACTTCAGAAACGCTTAAGTCCTCGAGATATTTCCAACAGTGCAGTTGCAACTTGCAACTAAAGAAGCAAAGAGAAAGTTGCTCTTCAATGTTGCTTCGTGTGTGAGCTGTTCCTTCCTACTTGGTCACACCCATAGCCCTTGCAGCCTGAATCCTCTTTTCAGCTTCTATCGCAGCTGCCTTCTCAGCCTGTTTCTTCTTCTTTGCTTCAATCGCAGCCGCCTTTTCTGCCTGCCTCTTCTTCTTGGCTTCAATCGCAGCAGCTTTCTCCTCCTGTTTCCGCTTCTTCTCAGCAATAGCAGCAGCCTTCGCCTCCTGCAGCCTCTTCTTTTCCGCAATGGCAGCAGCCTTTGCTTCCTGCTTCCGCTTCTTCTCAGCAATTGCCGCCGCTTTTGCCTCCATAGCCACCTTCTTAGCTGCAACAGCAGCCGCCCGTCTCGCTGCTGCTTCCCTCCTCTGCCTCGCCACCTCCTCTGGGCTCAGCAAAAAAGGTGGTGAACCACCTCCAGATGTCGAGCCGCCATCCAATGTTGAACCATTGTCAGATGTCGAGCCGCCTCCAGATGTTGAGCCACCTCCAGATGTCGAACCGCCGTCGCTTGGAGAAGTGCTGTTTCCTGATGTGTCGGTTGAACCGCCTCCGCCGGGCGCTGTGGTGTTTGCTGACGTGTCAGTTGAGCCGCCTTGATACCCGGGGCATTGGCTCCCTTCGTCGCTACCGTCCGCGCAGTGCTTCACGCCGTCGCATTCGCCACCAGGCGGCATGCAGCCCATCTTAGAGGGGCATTGCACCTGGTGGGGACGAATAAGGGAGAGAAGGGGAAAGGGGGGGGGAGGGGAGGGTGGGGGGAGGGAGTTGACTCAACACTCACGCCGTTGCGCTCGCCCCTGGGGCGCATGTAGCCAGTCTTAGAAGGGCATTTGGACCTGGGCGTGATGTACGGGGGAGAGAAGAAACGAAGGACACCGTTCAGCGAGCGAGGAAGCGGGGACTGAAATTGTTGCAACACGCACGGTTCGGTGCAACTAGGAAAAGCCACGAAGGGGCAAAACCATGACGCCTCCGAGACTCGGAGTACCGTTCACAATGTGATAGAGTGAGCGGTGCACGTCTCTCATGTAGCGATAATAGAACCACATAGTGGTAGTACGACCAGCACCCACTTTCCAACCTCACAGCACCCACCTTCCTGCCTCCCAGCACCCACCTTCCCACCTCACAGCCGCCACCTTCCCACTTCACAGCACCCATTTTCCCGCCTCACAGCACCCACCTTCCCGCCTCACAGCACCCACCTTCCCGCCTCACAGCACCCACCTTCCCGCCTCACAGCACCCACCTTCCCGCCTCCCAGCACCCACCCTCCCGAAGTTATCGCAGTAGTAGTCGTAGCAGTAGCTGGGCGACTCGTCGCTGCCGTCGGCGCAATCCGGCTTCCCGTCGCACACGTTCGCCTCGCCCACGCACTGCCCGCCGCCGCCCGGGCAGTTCATCTGCTGCTGCTCGGGGTGGCACCCCGAGACGTAGTCATAGTCCGGCGCAAAAAACGTCGCGCAGAAGTCGGCGTCCTCGTCGCTGCCGTCCAGGCAGTCTTTCACGCCGTTGCACTCGGCGCCGGGAGGCATGCAGCCGATCTGTGAGGGGCATCTGGCCTGGTGAGTGGGTTGGGGTCGGGGGGGGGAGGGGAAGGGGAAAAGTCGACTTAACACTTTCCGCCGTTGCACTTGGCGCCGGCGGCATGCAACCGATCTGAGAGGGGCATTTGGCCTGTAGCTGTGGATAGAAATGGGAGAGACAGAGTATCGGCGAGCGAGGAAACGGGAAAGGGAAGTGCGAGACGCAGGGTGCGACTTGCCGGAAAGGCGTGGCGGAAAGGGAGACATGACGGGTCCGAGGAATCCGTTGCACTGCCACTGGTACTACTAGCCGTCCGATGCACGTCTCGCAGGTAGCAACGGTAACTGCGATGCACGTCTCGCAGGTAGTATTGCTGGTAGTACCAGCACCCACCTTCTCAATGTTCGCGCAAGAGAACTGTCTGCAGAAGCGGGGCCACTCGTCGCTGCCGTCCCCACAATCCGGCTTCCCGTCACACATCCGCGCCTCTTTCACGCACTGGCCGCCGCCCGGGCACGTCTGCTGCTGCCGCTCGGGGTCGCACTGCGGCCCGTCGTCAATGTTCGGCGACACTGGCATCGCGCAGAAGTCGACGTCCTCGTCGCTGCCGTCTGGGCAGTCGCGCGCGCCGTCGCACAGTCGCGCGAGCTCGACGCACGAGCCGTCGCCACCCGGGCAGGGCTGCGACAAGCCGGTGCAATCCGCCGCTTGAAGGGCCCGCGCCGCGGGGCGAAGGGGTGCGACTCGGAGTAGCGCGTCCGCTGTGGCTCGAGCGTCGGTGGTGCGAGGAAGGAGGAGGAGGAGGAGGAAGGGGAGAAGGGGTGCCATTATGCCGCTGCTGACCTCCGCAGATCCTAGAAGCCAGCGAAAGCTCACCCTTTTGAAAACTGTGGTGTCGAAATGTTCTCGATTCTACCAGTACAGAAAGTAGAAAGAATTCAGTGGAAACGGAAAGCCCAGATGCGATGGAGCTCTACGGATTTGTATACTCCGCACGCGGCACTAGGTGCTGGAGATGTGCAGCACTTTCTGTTGTTCGGATGCACCAGTCCAGGTAGCGCCCGCCCACCTGGTCCTATGCTACCCCATCCAGCTCCAGCCGCCCGCGCGACGGGCGAAAACAGGCGAATCATAAGCGGAGGGGCGCGTGGCGGAAAGGCACTCTGTCACAAAGCATGCGTTTCTACTGTGACTGCGACAAAATACACAGCCATTATTTTCGCTTCACGACGATTGTTCGACAACTGATTTTATGGGAGACAAACATGTCAGGTGTGGGCGTGTGGGATGGGATGGATCAGGATTCAGGAAAAGTCGTAAGAGCAAAAACTTCGTTATCAGTTTCCGGTGCAGCTCGGTCTGGCATAGTTGCTTCGGATTCTGTACGATACAGTAGGTTCCAGTGCGATAGTTATTCAAAGTCAACGCAGGACATGCCCTCCGAAAGCCTGTGAGCGGCGCTGGGGGCCTGTGTGGCAGCCAACTCAGCGGAAGTTTGGTTCAAGTGGTGGCGCAGCTCCTTGCCAGCATGCAGATGTAAATGAGCAGGTCGTTCCTGAGACTCCGGCTCGCACGCAACAGAGCAGCGCCTCGAATTTCTCTACCCATAGTTACACTAACGGGGGGAAATGGATATTTAGAGGCTGCCAGAAATGGTTTTCGGGGAGGTAGAAACGGAATATTTTAGTTTCCTGAATAAGTTACTCAAACCAAAATTATTGTCGGGGTACTGGTTTGAGTTAGCTGTTTGTCAACCCCAGGTCCCGGCAAACCACTGTACCACTGACAGGCCGAGGGACCTCTACATTCCCAGGAGCTTCTCGAGGATAACACTAGCTGCCACTGCACGCTTGCGTGGCATCTAGGGTACTCTTGGACTTTATCCCGCCCGAAACACTGATGCGATGGGTGGACATAGAGACTAATGGGACAGATTTCCTCAAACGCAAATGAGAGGGCTGCGCATGTCTCGTTTTTTGGTGTACAGTCGCTGGAAGTGTACTGAAAAACGATAAACCCCAGGTGGGGTGGCAGGCACCTGACACAATACGTGGTACCTGAGGATTAACTTGACATGTGTAGAGTCGACGAGCTGACCTTTTCTGTTGCGGAACACCACACAAGGGAAGTGCAAGGATGGACAAGCGTCAGGTCGTTTGAGATTTCACTGTATTCTAGGTGTTTGAACTATTAACGATGTTGGTTTTAGCTTGTGCACTTACACAACACAAACCTTTTTTTAGAAAACCTGTTTCTAAGTATATGAGTCGAGTAATGCAATAGTGAGGTCCTGATTCAAAATGTGCCGAGTACAAATGAATCACAGGGCTAAATACAAGCACAGCTAACCTAGCAAGAGAGCCTCAAGGGAGACCACGAAACACACTCGAGGTGGTTTGGGGCGCCTCGGGACTCGGAAGCAGGCCTGTCGTTATCAGGGTATTTTACCCTGATTCCCTGATTTCACAGGGTATCTTTTTGGCCAACCCTTAATTTTCAGGGTTGGACATTTCTTAACCCTAGCCCCTTCAGCAGGCCTGACGTTTCAAAAAAAGGCACTCTGAACCAGAAGTAAATCGTCTGGTGTTGTAGTAGACTAAGTATAAAACTATAAACATGAACACTTGGCAAATCCTCAAGTGTTGGTCCAGGATCTTTGCTGGAAAGGTAGACTAGTAAGACAGCGGAAGTCTTGTAAAATGTAAAGGTCAAGATTGAATAATCATGAGTATGTGAACTTGTGGGTAATCAAAGTTAATAATGAAAAGACCTGACAAGGATTTATAGTTCTAGGAAAAGTACCTATTCGCTAATTTACCTGTTCGTCACTATCGCCCAATGCGTCATAGATGATAATGAAGAGGTGCGACTGTTCGCGTGACTGAAACGACTGTCCTATGACGAGCGCTATTTGCTGACCTCATCCTACGGACTTATCTTATACAGTATGATTCGACACTAACAACACTTAATCGACTTACAGAAATGCTAAGTATCAATTATATCACAACACTCCCCTTCATTTCTGGAAGTTCGATAGTGTCACTTTTTGAAGATTCCGCAGAGCTTGTTACAGTATTGAAATGTTCAAATTATATAAGTTATAATTTAATATAGGCTTGGTAGGTTGTTACTGAACCTTTCTGTAGGGGGTACAAACCCCTCCTTGTACTCCTCTCTTCCTAATCCAATACTCTTCTCTCTCGATACTCTCGTCCAGCTCCTAGCTAAACCCCGCCGCCACATTCATGGCGGCCTTGTTCCTGCCTAGTATCCTAGCCTAGAGCTACTTTAACATGGTAACAGAGCAGGCCGTTTCCGGTCCTGCCTTCCACGCTTCCGCCTCGTCCTTGTCGTACGTTTCACTTCGTACCGTGCCGCTGATGGCGGCCCTTCGTTTTCCAGCCGCCGTGGCGGCCTTGCCTTTCCGTGCCGCCGTGGCGACTTCTCTGAGATGCCGCGGCGGCTTAGTCGAGCTACAGTCGCACCTCCGCCTCGCCGCCGCGGCATCGACGTCGCGCTGTGGCGGCGTTTTTTGGCTGCCGTGGCGGCGTCATCGGGCGACAGCCGGCCGCGCATCGTCAATGGTGCCGCCGGACCTGCCGCCCGCTCTGCAGCCACCGGCGTGATTCTGGACTACGCCCCGCGCCCCTCTCCCCCCCCCCCCCCCCCCCCCCCTCCCCCCTCCTTCCCCTGCTTCCCCCCCCTTCCTTGCTGCAGCCAACGACTGCCTCATGCGGGCCCTCCCCACTGCCGAGGTGACTGGACATGCCGCCGAGAGGGCGGGGGCCGCTGCACCAGCCGCTGACGTCCAAGCCGCCGCTGCCGTTGCTGTTGCCGCGGGCCGGGCGCCGCCGCACGCCGCCACCGGCGCCGCTGTCGTCAATGTCGCTGCTGCCGCCATAGCCATCCCACGGGCCATGGGAGCTGCCCGCTTCTGGAGTCGTTGTGTCTCCTGCTGGGAATGGGGGTGCTGGGCTAGGGGGTGTGGGTGTGGGTGTGGGTGTGGGTGTGGGGGTGTGAGTGGGCTAGACACTACCAAGCCTAGGGGGTGTGTTCAAATTATATAAGTTATAATTTAATATAAGCTTGGTAGGTTGTTACTGAACCTTTCTGTAGGGGGTACAAACCCCTCCTTGTACTCCTCTCTCTTCCTAATCCAATACTCTTCTCTCTCGATACTCTCGTCCAGCTCCTAGCTAAACCCCGCCGCCACATTCATGGCGGCCTTGTTCATGCCTAGTATCCTAGCCTAGAGCTACTTTAACATGAAACTCCTGTCGTGTCAGCTTCTTCGTGAGAAAATCGGCAGCCATTTCGTTGGTCGAACAGTAGACCAATCGCATCCTCTCCTTCTCGACTTCATCTTTGACGAAAAAATAACGAAGCGAAATATGCTTCGTCCTGTTGACGAAACCAGGTTGATGTGCGATGCGAATTGCACTTTGATTGTCGCACTGCACAGTAAACTGGGTAGTTGTCGTCAACTTCGCTTCTTCCAATAGTTCCTGTAGGTAAAGTCCTTCGCGTGTTGCTGTACAGACAGCAATAAATTCAGCTTCAGCAGAGGAGAGAGCAATCAACTCCTGCTTCGTCGAATTCCAAGAGATAGGCCCGATAGGTTCAAGTCGATAGACGAATCCAGTGCGTGACCGCCGATTAGTAGAATCAGCAGCATGATCGGCGTCGACAAAACCATGTAGGTAGAGCGTTTTACAACCGATGACGTTGTAGACTAGACCGACGTCAGGTGTTGAGATGAAATACTGAATCGCGCGGAGTAGATCGAGCTGATGTTCTTCCTCAGGACGGCGTAGGAACTGAGCGAGCTGACTGGCCGCGTAGGCTAGATCAGGACGACAAATGACAACTGCGAAGAGTAGTCAGCCTAGCTGCTGTTGATAGATCTGTAAACCGGTTGAAGTTAACAGTGCGGTATTCGGTTTGTAGTCAGTCGGTAGTAAGCGTTACGGTGTAGAGACTGCAGTAGGTGTGAGATTGAAGCGGGCAGCGAGTGTTGCTGCATACTTCGAAGCGGTGAGATGAATAGTCGTCGGTGAACAAGTAATGTCCAGACCGAGAAACTGTGAGACTGTTTTGGAGACAGTAAGCTGTAGAGTTTTCTGTAATTTCAGTATGAAGATGTCGGCAAGAGAATCGGTAGTACTGACGAATAGGATGTCATCGACGTAGGCGACGAATAAAATATAGTTGTTGCCGTCGGTCAGTAGATACATTCCCTGGTCATGCGGTAGTTGACGAAAACCGGCAGCGATCAATTGTGAGTGTAGATACTGCTGCCAGCGCCGTGGTGCCTGTTTAATGCCGTATAGGGATTTTCGGAGACGGCAAACGCTCGGTGGGTTAGTAGTATAGGAATGCGGGTACTCTACCAGGATAAGTGCGTCGACATGCGCGTAGAGAAACGCATTCGACACATCAATTTGTCGAAGTCGGAGATTGCGGCAGGCGGCGACACAGAGTAGAATCCGAACGTTTGTATGTCGGCCGACAGGAGCAAACGTTAAATCGTAGTCGATGCCGTAAGTCTGTTCGAACCCACGGATGACCCATCGCGCCTTGAATTTCTCAAACGACCCATCTGCATTAGTCGTGACGCGGAAGACCCATTTTCCGGTGAGTACCTTCTTTCCTTTTACTTATGAAGTCCGTATTAAGTCCCACGTGCCACGATTCTTGAGCGCTGCTAGCTCCTTGTCCATGGCTTCGCGCCATTTTTCTCGGTGAGGACTCGTAAGAGCTTGTCGAACGGTTTTCGGTTCAGGTATTTTACTGTCGTTGTACTGTACTGCGACTGCGAAACCCAGTATCTGCAATCCTGTTTCTGTAAAGCGCGGACGTTCTTCGTTTGCACCTGCGAAATTTTCTTTTGGTCCTTCTTCCCCCCCCAATTTCGTCAGGTGTAACACGAACTGCTTTGTCGGAGACGACGGGCATCGGGTGCTGTTGGCGATCTTGTTCGTAACTGAGATGAACTTCGCGAACATCATCATGGTCAGCATCTGCGAGAGGAATGAATTCAGGTATGCCGGTCGAAGTAACAGGTTCGGGAATGTCTCTTGCAGCAGCTTCGGATGCTTCAGAAACATCCTCGTCTTGAACATCAGCTTCGGCTTCGTCAGTTGCAAATGCACGCGAGCCTTCGAACAGCCTAGCGGGATTGGCAGCTGCTGCTTGGTGGGCACGAAAAATGGGCAAGGTG